GAGAGCAAGGAATTTTGACATCAATAGTTCCTAATCCACTAGATGTTGTCCCCAATTAAAATGAATTTTTAGCCTATTGGAGGATTGTGGTCTTTAGCCAATTGAACATAAGCCACCCCTATTGTCATGCCCCAAAACCCAAATTTGAGGCGCGACAGACGCCGTGCACTCGTGAAACGGGTCCCACAAATGCACAAGGCTCGGAACTTATCCAATTCACAATCTGATACCACCAAATCTGAAGATTAAATCTTTAAAATTTACTCTGATATCATAAAATCTCCAAATACACTCTGGTTTACAGATCATAATTTATTTCTAAAACCTATATCAATCTCGAAATGGCTAGCCTTCTAACTCGTCACTTCCCGTGGTTTCCCCATCCTCAGTTTCGCTTCCTGAAATAGTGGACAAGGAAAAACTATGAAATAACTCAGTAAGTAAAATATGGAGTGCCCCTTATTAAACTTATAGCACGCCAACAAGTGCAATCATGAAAAACGGATATAGTACGAGAACGAAATAGACGTCTCCTCTATAGGTCATGGCCAGTGTTTAAACCTCCCACTGGCAGGCTACAGAAATTACTAGTGTTTAACCCCCACTAGCAGGATTACAGAAATACCAGTGTTTAACAACTCCCACTGGCAGGAGGAACCGACTCTACAGAAATATATGTCGACATGTGCTAGCGTTTAACCCCCACTAGCAGGATTACAGAAATAACATGACCACATCAGAGACAAAACAGGCATAAATTAACAAAAAAATCATAATTCACCAATCACTTTCAAATCATCAGGACAGTCAATTAAATTTCAAGTAGACATGCTCAATTTAATGAAAAGCATAAAAATTTCACTTCAAATTAGTCATACTTTTGCATAAAACGGGTTTGGTCCCGCCACCATTTCAAAAACAAATCAAAACATGCTTCTAAAATCGAAGGGCGTTACTATAATCTACTTACCTCACTCACATAAAACCAAGCACTCAATCTTAGTGCTAACTGACAGAACGATCGGGAACCTAATCAAAACACCTCAGAATTAATACCGAACTATCACAAATTTAAACTGAAATCATCATTAAGATCACTCCTAATCCCGATGCTATTCCTATCAATCTCCACATGATCAAATATCTCCAAATTCGTTCTTATATCACAAACTAATCATTTAAATCCCCGTTAATTGTTGACCCTCGATGTGTTAACAGTACCCGCGAACAGTACCATAACGTGAACGGTAACTCCACTCCCAAAAATTGGCCAAAACACCAGCCTATTCTCACGGGATTTTCTCCAAAAATCACAACAATCCAAATCAAGCTAATTTACACTTAAACCAAGCTTAAAACATGTTCAAAAGCTACCGGAATTATCCCCATTTTCTGCAGAATTTCGGACACACAAGGCAGCAAACTAAATGGATAATTTTAGGCTTAAAGAGCTGCCACATACCAGAATTTGCAAGCAAGGAACCGGACTGCAGGTTGGGGGAGGCCGGCGGCAGTGCAGGGACAATCACGCAATCCACCCAAAAATTCAAGAACCAAGAGGAATTAAAGCAAACCCAAGCCAATTTAAAGCTAGAGAAGGGAGATTCATGGCTGTTTCTTACCCAAAATCAGAGAAATTCGCCCCCACAAAGCAGGAGCAGCCGGCGGTGAAGAGGAGGAGCAGAGCAGATCCGGAAGCTTCCTACAGGGGGGGAGATTTCTGGGTTCCAAATCAGGTTCTTGGACAAGAAAAGAAGGGAAAAATCAAGCTCTCTACCGGCTTCCTCAAGGCATGGCTGGGTTTCCCTTTTTTTTTTTCTTTCGGGTGGCTGCAGTCGGGTCGGGAAGAGCAGAAGCACGCGGGGAAGAAGAAAGAAAGAAAGAAAAAAGAAAGAGAAAAGAAGTTGATCCTTATCCAATATTTTCCCCTTTTTAAGTCCCTCAGCTTTCAGAATATTCACATTAGGCCTCAAAATAGCATTTTTCCACAATTTAGTCCCTAACTCACTTATTTATTCTAGAAAATTTTGGGGTATCACACCTATGTTGTCTATCTGCACCTTACAAGCTCTTTCTTCCTCCAAAAATTCAGTACAATATTTCCTCTTAGTTGAAATAGTTTGGTCCATGTGTAGTGGAGGTCCCACTACATGTTCCAGCCTTTTCCATTTGCTTTTACTACTCTTTGTATCTTTTACTTGTCCTTTGGACCTTTTGATGCAGCTAAATTCGTGGGACAAAGGCACCTCCACATCAATAGAATCTGACAAAGTAATAGGAAGCTAATTCAAAATTTCACCTTCAGAACATCCAGTGGCAGCATCATCTTTATTTCCTTCATCTATTTGATGGGCACAGTTGACTGCAGAGTTATCCAATTGTAAATCATTATTTCCTAAATGCTCCTTGCCCCTATCAACCTTGTCTCCAACCAAATTAAGTATTTGTAGAGAAAGTTTCATCCAAAATAGCAAAATCATATGGGCACCATGAATTTTTGAATTCAGCTATTAACCAAGAGCCAAAACAATGAACAATCTTACCTTCAACATCCTTTATACTATTCACAATCGCTCTCAACATGGCCTAAGCATCCACAAACAAAACAGTACTCCGAATGTCATTCATATTTAATATGAAGTTTCTTACTCTTTGTAGTAATAATTTAAGAAGTTTTAAATCTTTTCAAGGGCCTATTCATCTCCAAATCAATTCAAATTTTGATAGCCTTATGAAAGCCTTCATCCACCTTTAAAACTTTTCCTAATGAACCCCCAATCATGTATCCAATCTACTCTGAGTGCATACCAATAGGAACATCAAAGATTCAAACCCAAAATCAATTTGTAGAAAAATTATATTGCTCTGTAGTTAAAGAGGCTTGAAATCACTTCAAAATAAATAGTGAATTGCTAAAATTCCAAGGACCTTTATGAAAGACTTTGTTCAAATCTCCGGCGTCAAAGAATTGGAATAAATAAATCTTTTCCCCGGTCTCAGACATTGTAAAAGCATTTTTAAGCTTCCAAGAAACCATCAAAGCATTGTGAAGACCATTTAGGTGAATCCTCCTCTGAGAGAAAGGATCTTCCCCATCAAGCACAGCTTTTGTACTCGCGTATCACCTTACTTCAAGGTCATGTGTAGTGGGAGAATGTCATCCTCATCCTCTACGATGCAAACACGAGTAAGCATGGATTCAAGTTCGTCATTCGCCATTGTTACTGGGACACCACACTCTCCAATATTAATGAAGGAACCGAAATTGGATTTGTACCACTACCTTGAATTGCCTAGGGTTATAGTGTTCCAAGTAAGGCGACAAGAACAGTTTATGTTGATAAAAGAGAAGAGGGGAGGTGACTCGTCAATCAGAGAGAAAATCCTAAGGAGATGCCCACCATCTCCAAAACCCTAAGCCTATAATTTTGGAGCACGAGAGAGAACAAACCCCACTTTATTAGGAAAGGATCTTCTCTAAATAAATGAAGATCACGTTTCACATCTCCCAATCCCTAACATCCCTAAACCCACTCCCGAAGAACTCTAACCAACTAAACAAATCATCACCCCTAAAAATCTGGCCATCCCTAAAGAAAAGACTATGAGTTGATCCTCCACCAAGAACACCACCTCCCATTGTCAGAGCTCTGTCACCACCTCTATAGCAACCAAAACTTTCACAACAAGCTTTGAACACCAATCAAATCACTAGCCAAAAAGGACTCCATCCCCTATAACATAACTGACTCCATAGCCCATCCATTACAACCAATAAAACTTCCTCCCACAGGCATTGACCTCTCCACCATCAAATCCCAAGCTTCCTCTTTCACCACCGCCAAGTAAGGACCCGCCACCATCCCAAAATCCCCTCTAAGTGGCCTCCAAGTTATAGCTATCACCACAGCTGAACCATCGTCGATCATCCCCACTTCCTTATTAACCTTGAGCTGAGATGATGCTACGCTTTGGACCCCTGCAAAACTTGCCATTTCATATGCACTAATGGGGCACCACAACCTCCCATGGAGAGCTACACCACTAAGCAAAAAGACACACCAATAAGAAAACTAAAAAACAACCAAAATTTCCCTAGCAAAAAGAAATTGACCTCTCACAAAAGGAGAAAAGAAACCTCCCAAAACCCTAGGAAACCACATTGCTTGTATATATTTGTATGTTTTCTTATTAAGCATACCTTAAAAAATTTTTGGTTGATTTGATATAGGAAATTGTTGTACAAGATTTACCAGGAGATATACTTGGATATAGAGGATGCTTTTTGCGGGGTAAGTTGAGGTACACAAAAGTCTTCCCCTGTGCTTAGCTTGAAATCTTAAGTTTTTTAACCCTTTACAAGAATTTTTCTAAATATTGTAGGAACTACTTACACTTAGGGAGCAAATTGGTAATGTCAACACTGGTTGTCAGATACCACTAAGTTAAAGACCAAAACTTATTCACTATCAAGAGCAAATATTAATTTGGAAGAGACAACTGCTCTTGGCTAGTAACTTAATGTCTGTACTATGTGCAAGGTAGTTAAGATCTTGGGTTCTCTCTTTTCTGTTGTTGAAGTGTGAGAAAGACATGGCTTTCGCATTCTGCATTTTGATTTATGACTACTACACTGTCTAAAGAAGTGGTTGCTCTAGAAGAATGAACACCTTATGTACAGGTCTGGAAGATTAACCCTGTTAGGTTCTCTTTGTATTTTGATGATGATTTAAAACCATGATTCAAAAGAGTTTAATCTATTTTTGTGCTAAGTGTGTAGGAAAATTAATCCAAGGTTTCTAATCTTTCCCCACGATTAGAATTAATTCATGTTCTCCTTGTTCAGAGTTCTGGGTTTGAACCAATTTATTTTGGTTCGAATCAATCCCGAACTTTTGTTTTTCGAAAATGGTTCGAACCATTATTTCTGGCTTCGAAGCAAAAATTCTAGAAGGGTAAATTTTGACAGCTCAACTATCCGTTTATTTTTATTTTTAATGGGTGTTGGGGGAACCAATTGTCTGAGCACTTTCCAAAGTCAAGTCAAAAATAGTAAAATAAGGTGGAATCTAATTGGAGCTTTTGTGAGGTGGCTTTGAAGGGACTTTAATTGCAAGGCTCCAAATCTCTATTAAAATGATCAAAAAATTCAAATCTGAAAAATAATAGAAAAAGGACGTGAGTTTGATATTGTTCTGGGTTTCCTTCTTCTTTTCTTCTTGTGAGCTTTTGGGTTAATTGTCTTACAAGGGTTTTCTATTCTTCTTGGACTGGGTTAATCCTTGAAGGGGTTGAGTGAGTTGAGATTCACTTGTGAGGGTTTAATCTTGCACCCGCAAGCAAGAGTTCGTTCCGGTTTAATCTTGCACCCGTAAGCAAGAGATTTCTAGTGGATTGAACCTCAAGCAAGGAGGCTTAAGGAGTGGACGTACTCCGGGTTGGAGGAACCACTATAAATCACGGATTGATTTTCTCTTCCCTCTCTTTTACTTTTCTGCACTATATTACTCTTGTTTGTTCTGCTCAACAGTTTATAAATTGCAAATTTGATTTAAGTCTTGAAAGAAAAAGAAACAAGTTTTGAAGTTTAAATTGATAAGACCCAATTCACCCCCCTCTTGGGTAGCTAGCTGGGATTACAATTGGTATCAGAGTAGGTTCTCTTAGAAACAGATTTAACAATCTAGAGTAGATCCATGGCTTCCCAAACTCATTTTGTTGAAGGTCATTCGATCACTAGGCCACCTTATTTTGATGGAACAAATTATCAATACTGGAAAAAATAGGATGCAAATTTGGTTAGAAGCAAATAGCTATGAGATGTGGGATTACATTGCTAGAGGACCTTATAAAGTATTAGCTAGAGACCAGAATAACAAACTTGTTCCTAAGGATCCTACATCATATGATGAAGTTGATAGAAAAAGATTGCAGATAAATGCTCAAGCTAAAAATGCATTGTTCTGTGCTTTACATCCTAGCGAATATGATAGAATTAGTGCATGTGATTCTGCTAAGGAAATGTGGGATAAATTACAAGTGGCTTATGAAGGAACTAATGAAGTCAAGAAATCAAAAATTAACATGTTGGTTCAAAAATATGAGCTATTCAAAATGAAATCAGATGAAGAAATTAAAGACATGTTTACTCGTTTTACCAAAACCACTAATGAATTAAAGCATTTTGATAGGGTGCTTCCTGAGGAGGATAAGGTCAGAAAGATTCTCCGTTCCTTGCCAAAATCCTAGAGCTCAATCAAGGCAACAACAGAAGAAGCTCATGATTTAAGTGCCATGACTGTTGAGATGCTGCAAAGGAAGCTCCTTACACATGAAATGGCCATGAAAAATTATGAAAGTGATGATGATACTCGGAAGAAGAAATCTGTAGCTTTCAAAAGCTCTTCCAAAGATGAAAGTGACAGTGATGAAGAGGATGATGAAGAATTTGTATTGCTTGCTCGAAAGTTCAAGAGATTCTTAAGGAGAGATAGGCTGAAGAATCAAGGACAGCAAAAGAAATACTACAAAAGCAGTAAAGGAAAGGGAGAAAGTAGTAAAAAGGATGAGATTATCTGCTACAAATGCAAGAAGGCTGGACATATTAAATCTGAGTGTCCAAACAATGATGAAAATAGTCTAAAAGCCAAAAAGAAAAAGAAGGCAATGGTTGCCACATGGAGCTGCAGTGAGGACTCATCTTCTAGTAAAGAAGAAGGTGACATGGAAGCTCATTTTTGTCTAATGGCAAATGATGATACAAATGAGGTAAATTCCATTTCTACTTCTATTTTTGATCATGCAAGTGATGATGAAATGACATATGAGGATTTGCAAGATGCATTTAATGAATTATATGAGCATTCTAAACAAATTAGTGTAAAAAATGCATCTTTAAAAAGAGAAATTTTGTCACTTAGAAAAGAAAACAATGATTTGAGAAAATATTTAAATGAGGAAATGATAATTAGTCAAAATATGGAAACTGACTTGGAAGAGTCAACAATTGCATTTAGAGATTACAAACAAAAGTTGATTGAAGAGCATGGTAAGCT